GAAAAAAAAGTCAATCTAAAACTCTCTAATATGTATTTCTTTACTCTGAGCGTAATAATTTCCCATCATTTTAGATCATGCCATTCCCTTAAATGACGCTTCAGGAAAAACAGAAATCAATCGAACTCTATTACTAGAATATTTACATGAAATTTATTAATATTTACAACGGATAAAGRTAGTTTTTTTAACAAATTCCTTAACTGAAAAATATCTGATCTATTATATAAAATTACTTATTATTGTGTAGTCATTATATATAGGTCGATATCTTAAGATTCAGACTTGATTGCGAGGATTTATAATATACAATACTACATATATAATACTACATGTATGGTGCAAACATGTTGATCACCAAATACAATCATTAGYGTTGGAATAAAATAATGTACCTTATACGACGTTCCTACTTCGGCAACTGAAATTATTTTAAATATTATTATTTTAATTGGAAATAAGCCTACTGCTTTATTAGTTTACCCAATAAAGATTATTATTATATCACGGTATCTTGCTAGAATTTTAATATCTCGAACGTGGCCTATTGTCGAGATAAATATTCTGTATGAAGACATACATTAAAAGCCTAAAGTAACATTTATATATAATTATCTCTTGACTGAGAGTTGGTCATTGCAATTTTTTAAATAATGGAGTCAGTGGTGCAATGGAGTAGCATCTACAGTTTCCAAGGATTAACGCCCAAACGCGTCTGTTAAATAACTATAGTCTTCATTACACGATGTCGAACGCTCGTTATTTCAGCCTTATGTGAAGGAGTTCGAGGTTTGGCCAACATCGTCAGTGATCTGAGATGTACAGTCTGTAGTATGGTATCATTCTTCTCCGGTCCTCAATCGCCGACTTTTGTCGTAATTTGGGCTAAATAACCTTTCCTGAATAGTATTTTGCATGGCTTTAGATTTAATGTATTTGGGCCCATCGATAAACGTTATTTCCACTGAAATCTTACTCTTTTTCCTTGTCATACCTTCGTAGATAGAATCGTTTTCTTCTTTGATGACAGGCAATAGCATCCTACGGTATTCTTCCTTTTCATACGAAAGTGATTTGCGGTTAAGGGCTATTTCTCTACCATTGAGGCTTGGTTTAACCGACACAGAAGAAGGACAGCCCATGTTAGGAATATTTTTAAGCAGCGAAAAAATGAAAACTGACTGTGAAAATTAAATACGACGACGACGACGAAGCGTCAAGTATTGTCGCAGTGGTAAATATAAAGTGACAACACACGTCCCGGAACTATCAATTAAGGCATTGAAATATGATTTTAAAATAAACAAAAAACAGTAATTGCCTAATTAAAATTACTGCTAATTGGATAGGAATTAGAGCGGTTCCGAAATGATGACTGCTTAAACTCATCTCGACGGAAGTAAATCATGTTTTATTATTAAGCACGCAATCAACACCAATTAATTAGTGGAAAATAAATACAATTAGCCTATCTGAAAAAAAGAACTCTAGGATAGACTTGTTTAGAATTCCAAATTACCGCTGTGTTTCTTGATTACAGACTCATTTGCACAGGGTTATCCTCGAGTTTGTGCAGAATATTCACGCGTTCCAGTCAAGGTCCGTCGAGTTTCAAAGTGTTTGTATTGTTGGAGTTGTGCATTCTTTACTTTACCGTTGGTATTTGTGAATATTTAGACAATGATACGAGCCTAACCCTGTGTAAATGTGTCTGTAATCAAGGAACACAGCGGTAGTTTGGAATTCGAACTGGTCTATTGGCAAACATGTTTTGAGATAGACAGTATTCGTACGTACGTATACATGGACAGTATGATGGCTGCCTAGATGCCATCACATTGCTTTCAGCTTGACCATGCATATTTTTTAAAAGTTACTATACCTTCGCTAAGAGAACTTTTATAGGCAAAAGTAGAAACGCATATCTAACTCTAACAATGGTCTGCCTATAGCAATATATCGTGTCTAGTAACGAATCACTTCCCCATATCAACAAATTAACCAATTAACTTCGCCTAGCAACAAGTACAGGTCTATATTAACCAATCAACTCCGCCTAGCAACAAGTACAGGTCTATATTAACCAATCAACT